TTTCTTTCTCTCTCTCTCTCTCTCTCTCTCTCTCTCTCTCTTTCTTTCTTTCTTTCTTCTCTCCCTTCCTCTCTCTGAAATCACTAAAAAATATATGTATATTTTAAAAAGTCAGACAAAATTAATCTATGTTGATAGAGGTCAGAATAGTGGTTACCCTTGGGATAGGTTGGTAATAACTAAAAGAGCATGGAGGAACCTTCTAGAGTACTGGAAATGTCCTGCTTCCTGATCTAGTGATAGTTACATACACACATATACACATGGACATATACATACATATACACTGTACACATCTGTATATTGAGCTGTACTCTTAAGATTTGTGAACTTTACATTTGTATGTTATTTCTCAATATTAAAAGCTTACAAAAATTGAAATATAATTCTCAGGGGGAGTAATTGACCCACCAGCCCATTATCATTCAGTAGATTTTTAAAAAAATATATCTTTATTGAGTTTTAGAGAGAGAGGAAGGGAGAGAAAGATAGAAACATCGATGAGAGAGAAACATCAATCAGCTGCCTCCTGTACGCCCTCTACTGGCAATTCAGCCCAAAACCCGGCATGTGCCCTGGCCAGGAATCAAACCAGTGACCTCTTGGTGATGGATCAATGCTCAACCACTGAGCAACACTGGCCAGACAGTAGGTTGTTTTATTTGTGCCATCTGTGGTCACCAGAGTTGAACATAGCACTTTGATTTTATGTTGATATTAAGTTAAAATGTATATATCAATCTATGTGGCCCCAAGCTGAGAAGGTAATGGCATGGTCTGTATGTAAAGCCCTTGTTGGTCTTGAATGTTTATATGTGTCCAGGGCGCACACTCTGCAGCAGTACACTTGAGTGATTAATTCTCTTCCAGCAACCCTCTGCTGCCTCTTATTCTCCAAATCTTGTAATAGAATCTAAGAAGTGAAACTGCCTGTTTTTTATTATCTGCAGAAAAAGACCTCACGGCCCCTCTTGTCAGTGATAGGAGGTTAAATGCATCCTAACAAATCAAGGCGAGATAAGAATAGATCTGTAGCAGAGAGAAACAAATCCTTGCAAATTGTACTAAGCCAAGGATTGTCAAAAAAACAAGGCATATTAGAAGGGCATTCAGGGAAGAAAAATGTGTTGAGGAAATGAAAATCAAAGTCACTTAGCAGAATGCACAAACACCCGTTGGAAAGGGACCCTTATCCTACAGGGATGGGAAATTACATCCATTACTCAGCTATCACTCTAAAGCCACAGCCTGGGCGATCTGATTCCATCGTAAGCCCTGCTAATCAAAAGCAGGGGCTGGACCTATGAAATCACTCAAGGAGAGTCGAAATCATTGTTCTGCTGGGAGTGTGGTAAATGCTGTCAGTTTTACCTGATCCAGTCATTTTGAACTGCTGTGCTCTGTCCCATTATGTTCCAATCACTTTGATGTCCTTCTGTTAAAATTGGGAGGAATACATAGGGCAGATTATTTCTTTAGATATATATATTTTTTATCATGCTTTGTAATTTGGTCTGTGGACAGGTAATGGCATAGCTTTGAACACTGAAGTACTTTCATTCATTTACTCATGATGAACTATCCCCGGTGCTATGGAAGGATCCATGGAAAGGTGAGACAGTCTCTGCCCCAAAGGGTTTATAATTTACTTGAGGGGACTGGACATAAACACACAAAAGTTAATTTTTAAAAATCACAAGATATATTCTGTTTGTCCCTAGATTCACTTTCCATCCTGTTGCACCCTGGGAGGCTGACCTTACAAGTCACATTCATGGATGTCCTTGCCCTTTGGCTTCCAACTGGATTCATTCGATGGGACTTCCCCAAAGAAGAGTGCAGGTTATGCCCCTGGCTCCCTTCCTGTGGGGTTACCAGGGGCAGGCTGGATGAAAGTACAGAGACGGACTGGTTCTCTACACACAGAGGTCTCTGTCTTCCCGTTCCGGAAGGATGTTCTCATTGCTCTTTCAGGTCTAGGGGTGGTAACGGTGCCATGCTGTTCCTAGCTTCAGGATCCCCTAAACCCCACTCACATCCTTGTAAACAGTTGCTTTTGAAAACTCTCTTTAGCCCACCTGGCGTAGCTCAGCGGTTGAGCGTCGACCTAGGATCCAGGAGATCGCGGTTTGATTCCCAGTCAGGGCACATGCCCGGGTTTCAGGCTCGATCCCCAGTACAGGGGGGTGCGGGAGGCAGCCGATCAATGACCCTCTCATCATTGATGTTTCTCCCTCTCCCCTCTCCCTTCCTCTCTCTGAAATCGATAAAGACATACTATAAATAAAATAAAAACTCTCTTTAAATGAACCAATTTTAGTGTGTCCTCTGTTTCTTTCTGGGAACTTGACTGACATAAAAATTGCTATCATACATTGCCCAAGGAAATAGATACTCAGGATGGGATTCTGGATTTGGGTTACCCATCTATTTGAAGATCCTAAAGATAAGGTATTTGCCAATGTGAGAGAGGACACATCATCTCTGGTATATGGCAGTGCCATGATTATTCAGAAATATCGTTACTGTGTGGGCACAAGATGAAGCACAGAAAGAGGGCAAGGCATTACCTGTGGCATTGACATTATGGTGCTAATAATGATTATATAGATCATGGAGCCACCTGGCTTCCTTTGACAGTCCTAGAGAGTGTACAAAGGATAAAGGAGAAATGAAACTGAGTTTCCAAATTGTAAGTGGATAATCAGAAAGCCTGCGTGGCAGCTTTGGAAGATTGGCAGCATCCCCTGTAGTCACAGAGCAGATGACATTGTGATTACTATTATAAAAAGGGTCAAGTGGAAACTCTGGAACTGCACAACTGCCCCCTCCAGATAGGAAGCCAGAAGCGATTCCCCATCCCCAGGGCAACTGCAGAGGTTGGTGTCGCCACCAAGCGCTCGAAAGAGGCAGTGGTGTGATTCTTTCACGTCCCCGTTTGACTTGCTTGTCTGACTAGTGTAAAAGTCAGATGGGTTGTGGAGATGATTATATATTACTGACAAGTTAAACAGGTGGTGATGCCCATCATAACCATGACCGGGATGCAGTATCATTACTGAAAAAATCAGTACAGCCCTATGTGTCCATTTACAGCTGTGGATCTGGCAAATGCTTTTTAAAAAAAATCTTTATCATTAATAAAAGTCAGAAGCATTTTGAAGCAGATTGCCTTATCAAGGAAGGGCAACAATATACCTTTACTGATATGTCCTTGGCCATGAGAACTCTGTTACAAAAGAGTCTAAAGAGACTTCGATCCCCTTGATAGTCTGCTTAGCACCAGTCTAATCCACTACAAAGATGACATCATGCTAATTGGAACTGAGGAACAGGAGGGGCAAGTATTCTAGATGCCTCAGTAAGTTCCATTTATGCCAGAAAGTGGGAGATAAAGTCCATGAAAGTGCAAGGACCTGCCACATGTGTGATGTTTTGAGGGGTGCAGCGGCTGGAGACATGTCTCTAAAGTGAGAAGCGAGTGGCTGCACCTTGCATTGACCACCACAAAAAGGCACAGCGTCTGTTGGATCTCTTGGAATTTTGGAGGCGACATTTGCCACATTTGAGCATGCTGCTGTTCCAACCCGTCTACCTGGCAGGCTGTGAAGCTGGCAGTTTTGAGTGTGATCCAGAACAAGGAAGTGTTCTGAAGCAGGTGCAGGCTGTGGTGCAAGTTGCCCTGCCACTTGAGCCTCAGAACCCAACAGACCCAGTGATACCCCAAGTGCCTGTGACCAACAGAATGTCTTATGGAACCTCTGGCAATCTCTAGAAGGAGGCTCATGACCTGCTGGCAATTATGACGATTTGAAAGCAGCTCTGGCTTGCTCCTGTGGCCTGGTAGAGCCTGAAAGCCTGACCATGGGCTAGCATCTATCTGTGTGACCCAAAACTCCCAGACATGAGTGAGCATCTCCACTGAACCATAGAACTGCGTATGTGCAGCCACATTCCATTATAAATGGAAACAGGTTATGTGTGGTCAGTCTCATGCAGATCCAAGAGTCCAGTGAACTTCCAAGCAGGTGGCTCAGCCTCTTACATTGCCAGGTTCCCTGTTTCACTGCTCACCTCGCCTCATCCACGTCTTCATGAGAAGATTTCTATGACCTCTTGATGGAGGAGTGTGGGCCTGGTTTACTGAAGGAGCTTCCAATATGCTGGCATCAAGGGTGGTCCTGAATGACCATGGTAAAAGGGAATCTTCCCTATGGGCAGAACTTTGGACTTAGAAAGCAGTCAGATTTATGGAGGCCCTGAAGTCCAGGATAGAAAGCTAAGGTTTGGTCCCATAGACTGTGGATCTCAGTGAATAGCAGGACTGACTGACTCATTAGGCAGGATTCACAGTGCCTAGGATCTTATGGTACATTCAGGAGCCCACAGAAACGTTTGATTTTTAAATTTTCTCAAAATGAAAAAAGTCAATGAATATATAAAATAAGTCCAGTGTGGATTATAGTCACCTGTATGACCATGCAGTTGTGACAGATAGATGATAGATTAGATAGATGATAGATGATAGATAGATAGATAGATAGATAGATAGATAGATAGATAGATAGATAGAGATAGATATAGATGATGATGATAGATAGATGATAGATAGATGATAGATGATAGATAGATGATAGATAGATAGATAGATAGATAGATAGATAGATAGATAGATAGATGATAGATAGATAGATAGATGATAGATAGATAGATAGATAGATAGATAGATAGATAGATAGATAGATATAGATAGATGATAGAAAAAAATTGTTTTAATGGAGGAAGGGGCCCACAAAGGCAAAAGTCCACAAAAATCATAATGTGGCCCTGGGCAGGCATGTAGGGAGGATTCAGGAACAACTTCAAAATTTGGAAACTGAAAAGGTTAAACCAAAAGCCTAAGTATGTCATTGACTGAGATGGCGAAATCAGGAAAAGCTGGTTTAGGGGAAATACTGGTGCTTTGCTGAGTTGGAGGCTGTTGCAGAAGCTTTGGTATGAAGTGATCAGAACTTTGATCAGGTGGTGGCTTTTGGAAGAGGAGCGGGTCTTTGAACTGGTGTCTAATTGGACTGGGAAGAGAGGGTGACTATGGGAAACCACCTCAGGAATTTCCCATTTCACCACCTGCTGGATGATCCATGTTTCCTCTTAGTGCCATGACAGGAAGCAAGAGTTGAAAGGTGGTTCTCACCAAAGGCTGTGCTGGGTCACATCCTCCTGTACCATTAACTCTCGCCTCTCTCATGTTTCCTTTGCCCCACCGCGTTCCCTGGGGTCTGTTCACTTACAGAGATTACAGCATCATTTTCAGAGCATTTGAACTTAACTCTAATGCAAAGAGCGCAAAGTCATAATAATATTAGCAATCACAATTTTTACCTGTAGAACTCCTTATAGATAAGTGTTTTCTAGTAAGTGCCTTATAAGACATAACACCCCCAAGAGATAGGAGAGACAGATGATTTGATTTCCCAGTCTGCAGATGAAAGAGCTTGTCAGAGGTCTCTGGTAGAACTGGGATCAATGACCATATCCCTTGACTCCAATTCTTTTTCAACTCCACCCTAGCAGCCAGCTTAGATTTAGTTTAAAGGAAGTCAATGTCTTCACCACTCTGCAGGCTTCAATTCGATTTTAAAATACCAAAAACATCTCTATGGACAAGCCTTGATCTCCCCCCTGCTCCTTCATCCTGGAGATATCTCCTAGGCCCCAGTCAAGGCCCTTGTTCCTAGTGTGTACTTAGCCTTGGCATAGTCCATTCTCCTTGGAACCACTATGTATCTTCTCCCCTTCCCCATTCTTTCTGTTTTGCCTGCTCCCACCTCCTCTCTCTGCCCCTGCACTATGTCCTCTGTCTGCCCCTGCACTCTCTATTTCCTCTCTTCTGTCTCCCTTTCTTATTCTAGCCACTTCTCCTCTCTCCCCTCCTCCTTTTTCCTTTCTTCTTGCTTTTTATGTTCATATCTTGACACTGTTATTCTATCTCCTGCACCTACATCTAAATATCCATAATACCATCAAGTAGCCTTGCTCTAGGTCCTTCACGCTTCCAAAAGAAACTTGTATTTCCAAAGTAAATCCATAGACTTTCTATGAGTATATGTTCAAGCAATCCAATTAGAAAATGGGCAAAGGATGTGAAGAGACATTTCACTGAAGGAGATACAGGGATTGCAAATAAAAACATGAAAAGACATTCAGCATCATTAGCCATTGGCGAAATGCAAATGAAAACCACACTCTGATATCACTATACCTATTGTAACAGCTGAAATAAAAAGCAGTGACAATACCAAATGCTGGCAAGGAGAGGGACGGCATTTGCATCTCTGGTGGGACAGTCTAATGATACAGCCTCTCTAGAAAATCCTTTGGCAGTTTCTTAAAATACTAAACACACACTTAACACATGACTTTTAGTCACACTCTTGAGCATTTATCCCAGAGAAATGACAATTTATGTCCACGCAACAATCTGTACAGTAATGTTCATAGAAGTTTCATTGGTAATAGCCTCAAACTCTAATCAACATGCCCTTGATAAGTGAATGACTAAACAAACTGTGACACTGATACCACAAAATACTACTCAGTAATGAAAAGGAACAAACTATTGATACAGCTTAGATAAATCCAAGGGCACTGCGCTAAGTGAAAACAAGTCACTTTTAAAAAGCCACAATACTGTATAATTCCATTGATATGGCAGTCTCAAAAAGACAAAATTATAGAGATGGAAAACAGATTAATAATTGCCAAGGGTTAGGGATGTTGGGGGT